CAAAAAGATTTTATGCTCATCTAGGGGAGAGGGCCTACACCCTACTCTAATTTAACCTCTATCTCCTGCAAAAATGAATATATATATATATATATATATATATATATATATATATATATGGTAGGAAATTTAAGGGGAAACGAAGTTTTGGTTCTTAATAAATAATTTAGAGAAATGACATTGTGAGACCCTCTCACACCCATGTGTGTAGGATTCCAAACGATCACCATTAAATTTGGCACATATCTTTAGAAAAGTCAAGTCCCACACCCATGAGATAACTTTTCTAGAGATATGTGTCAAATTTAATGGTGATCCTTTGGAGTCCTACACACATGGGTGTGGGAGGGTCTCATAGGATCAGTACTCAATAATTTATCACCATCCAAACTTTTGAGTAAATATTAGGAATGTACATACTCATAAAGAGAGATTACGATGTCGAAGCTTATTAACTTCATTGGAAACCTTATTTGTGGCCTTCAAAATTTTGGGATTTTGTGTTTTGGAAAATAAAATTATTGTGTTTTTACAATATTGAGATTGCAAACATTGTAATTGAAATGGGAGACACATGTATTTCTTGCTAGAGGATATTAAGAGCTTTCCTAGAAAAATAGAACCCTCTTATTTTAAACAATTAGAATAATTTTATATCATCTCACTAGCAAATGCAATGAATGGGGATATGATGTCTGACAAAATACTTGTATTATTTATGGAGGAAATATTACATTTACTTTAACAATCAAGGGTACAAAATCAACAAGTACATATAATTTTTGCAATTTTATGATATTTCTATTTTTCTTTTACTTCCTATTCTTGTGTCAGGGAGATTTGAAGGTAGTGACAATTAATGGCTACGAAGACGTGCCTGAAAACGATGAAAGAAGCCTCCTAAAAGCCCTGGCTCATCAACCAGTTAGCATTGCCATAGAGGCATCTGGCAGAGACTTCCAGTTCTACAGTGGGGTATGCATTCATAAATGAATTTATTCGTAACAATTTATATACATACGTATATACACACATAAAAATCTCGAGCACAGTTTCTAATCATTTATGTTCGAGATTGCCACTAGAAGGGCAATATTATCCTTAATTTATTTATCATAAATTACCATAATGCCCTTGTCTCTTAACAGGCTTTTTAAGAGGTTTGGAACCAGATATACTTCATTATGATTGTCATGTTCATATTTCCTAATATTATATATTAGTATAGATTGTGGCACAGAATTTTTATTGAGAGAGGAAAATGGCTCATTTTCAGGGAGTTTTTAATGGGCATTGTGGAACTAAACTTGACCATGGAGTAGCTGCAGTTGGTTATGGCACAACTAAAGGATTGGACTACATCATTGTGAAGAATTCATGGGGGCCAAAATGGGGAGAAAAAGGTTATATCAGAATGAAAAGGAATATAGGCAAGCCTGAGGGCCTATGTGGCATTTATAAGATGGCATCTTACCCTACCAAAAACATTTAATCTTGAGATTGGGTCTCCCTCTTCCACTGCACCAAACTGTTTGCTCAATAACAGTCCATCTTGCCTTGTAGGCAAACATTATCAATTGATCATGTTTTAGTCTCTCTTTATTATTCAAGATTATCAATTAATCATGTTGTAATCTCTCGTTATTATTCATATTAAAGTTTTCAATCAAGTCTTCAAGGATGCTCACTGGGGAGTTTTATTGGAATATCATCACGTTTTTCTTTTTATCCTGAATTAATAGATTAATTACAAGGAATTTAACCAATCAAACCAATGTATTATTCAATACAAAATAACTTTTTGTAAGAGTCTAAAAACAATTGTAACTAATGGTCCAAATGTTTTTTTAATATAATTATTATTTCTAGTTTTAAAAATTTATTTACTTTTACATATTCATGACCTCAGTGTTAAAGATTATATGTTCTCTAAAAATTAAGATCAAATTATATCTACAAAATATATTTATTGCCAAGCCTGCATTTGTACATGTGCAGGCTTGGCCGCATGCTAACGATGTCCTTAATTTAAAAGCTTTGACTAATATAGTCGTTATCAATTTCTTGCGCAACGCTCTTTGTTTTCCATATTAACATTTTCAAGATATTTTTAGGTAAAGTTATTTTCCCCCTGAAACTTTCTTCGATAATTTTGCTTTTACGTTACATACATCATCACTGGAAAGCTTTTTTATCTCGAATAATTAGGAAATAACATTTTATCGCGATAATATGGACATCTTTAAATTTATCACCATGAATTGATTTTACGGGGATATTATCACAGTTAATATTTGCTTCGTAACTTATCTTGATAAAATGAGCAATTTATGTACGGACATGAAATCATCAAACAAAATACAAAATGGGTTACTTTTGCGCCAAAATTACTCGAAGGGTTGCTCAAAAAGCCATTTTTTTCTTATTCCAAAACTAACTCTCGGTCAGACGATACTAACCTCAAATTGCTTTTTAATTTCTTTTTTTTCTTTTGTTTTAACCTTGATTTATGCCTTGTTTTAGTGCCTATGGTTTAGGGCGTTCTGAGGTTGGAATCTTCGTACCGCATTGAACCTTTCGATGCCTTCAAAATTAAAGAACATTGACAAAGTTCAAATCTTTCATTAAGCTTTCTTAGCTTTTTAACTAACTTCTTACGATATTCAGCCATTTCTTAGGGCTTGCTATAAAATGGGATTTTAAACCCATGTGAATGAGAGAAAGAAAAAGAGCGACAGAGCAAAGGAAATAATATTAAAAGCGTAGACCTCTTGGAGTTAGAATATGGAAGGAGGGAAAATGCATATTCTATGAGAAGAACATTTGGGATAAAATGTATGGGAGGAGCATCATATATTGAATTGAAAATAAGGGAAGAAAATCAATATCCATTCGAGGTTGGCATCAATCTTTATTTTGTTGTGTTAGGGCGGTCCGAGGTTGTCATACTCGGACGGCATAAAACATATCTCTAGAAGGCTGACATCCGCAGACTACATTTCTAGGCAGTCCGAGGTTGGCATCCTGGGAGCACATTGAGCATGACTCTACAACGCTACTTTGGAAAACAAAAAGTTAAAAGAAAAAATAACAAGATGTGATGGAATTCTTGATGAGCAATTTGGGAATAAAGAAAGACTTTTTGACCGATCCTTTCGGTAATTTTGGACAAAAAGTGGCCTATTTTGTATTTTTCTTACTTCATTGGCGTCCGTACGTAAATTACTCTAAATTGAACTTATCAGAGATGATTGTGGCTACATTCCCCGATTATTGCAGCCTCTCTCTCTCACACAGTTGTTAAAAATTTGGAATCTTCTATTTCTAGGTTTTCTCTATTTTTTAATTTCTTCCCATTAGTGTGGATGTACTGTCGATACAAGGAGACTTGTGATGTACCTTTGTCTCTATTCAAAATCTCAAAAAGTTTCTCTTGAGATAGACTTCAAGCTGTCAAATTTTGCATATGACTACAAAAGGCGATTGCAACCTTCCTGGGATAGACTTCAAGCTGTCAAATTTTGCATATGACTACAAAAGGCGATTACAACCTTCCTGTACTAAATAGTATTAAATATAAAGTATCATAGTATACAATCTCTTTAAATATATGAGTATGTCCATATGTGTCTAAAGACAGACATAGAGAGGTCTCCTTTGAGTAGGTAAATAAATGGAAAAAATATACAAAACATTATATTTTGTCATTTATGTACGAACTCATTCAACTATATCATACCAATTATGCATGAACTCATTCAACTATAACTTTCATTTGCAAATCCACTTATATGCTCAAAAAAAATGGAACGATAAAGAAAGAGAAAGTGGACATCTAGCCTCCCATGATGCATGTTCATAGATCACAAACCATTTACCTTATCCATCCATATATGAATGTATTATCCATGCTTCAACCCCATCCATATACAAATGAATTATGGACGCTTCAACAGAACTACATCACAGGCGCAGAGTCAGATCGATGGGCTCTTCGCTGCTTGCCAATTCCAGAGTCGGATTGACCATCTCATTGGCCCTCCATTGACCAGGGAGGCTCGCACTCATCTTCATGGCATTTCCATTATATTCTATCTCACTATTCATCAAGGGAAGTGCACCAGCAGCCCCTCCATTCTCAGAAGAGTTCCCTTGCTCAATAGCCATAGCATCGTACCATTGCTGAGTACCTGTTTGAAGGTAAGGGTTCACATACCTCAAGCTCGAATTAGGAGGCATGGGTGCAATTCTTTGGAACCCTTGGGCCGCGTTCACACTATTCCTCACGGCCTTTCTAGCAGCTATCCTTTCACTTTTGTGAGCATTTTGATGCCCACCCAATGCCTGAGAGGTCGAAAACACGCGTCCACAGTATGCACAGGAATATTGCTTTGCCTGATGCGGAGAGGAGGCAACAGAGATATCGGTCCCGATCCCGATCCCCTGGGGATGGGAATTGGAGTCGGCTTGGAGCCCCTCAAGCCTGGGTGTGGAGGGGGTGGTGTTCGCATTGTGGGTAGGGCAGGACGGTGGGTCAGGTGTGGGGTACGAGGGTTCATGGTCGTGAGGGGAAGTGACGGTGAGAGAGTCCGAGGGGTTGGAGTTCAAAGATTCCATGGGTGGGCCTGTATATCTCTTTAGATAATGCAAGCAAAAGGAAAGAGAAAGGGAAATAGGTGTTAGAAATAGAGTAACGAGAGGCAAAGTAGAGGAATATAAAAAGGAAAAGATAAGACAGAGATAGAGAACAAGGAAGGAGACAGAAATGGAGATGGAGAAGGTTGAGAGAGAGAAAGTAGCCTTATTTGAGACAGTGGACAAAAACAGATAGATAGAAAGTTAATATAAAGTTGTCAGAGCTCTTAGTGAATAAAGCTGGCTGGTGAAGACTTACTTTTTTTATAGAAATGAGACATATGCCCACTTATGGTACTTGTCAAATGGAATCAAGAAGTTCTAATTTTTATTTTTATTTTTATTTTTTTATTTCTATTTTGTTTATATTTTTAAAATAATTGGGCGTGGCGTGATTGTGTTATTAACGATTTTTCTTGAACTTTTCTTAAAGAAAAGTCTTATCTGGCGTGGCGTGATTGGGCGTGGAATGAATTAGAGATTTTTCTTTTGTCTAAAGCTAAGTGGGTTTTAGGGTAGTTCAATATAAAACTGGAGATTAAATATTTATTCTGTTTTTGTCTAATTTTTAACCCTTGGGTTTAATCTTTTACTATTTTGTTTGTTTTGAGATTTGGATGCAAGTTATTTTTGGTGTTCGGTTACATTCAAGCATCCAGTTTTAGGAGATAATGTTGAAGGAGGTAATTTTAGCTAAGCTTTAAAGAAGTGGGGTGTCACGGGCGGGGGGGGGGGGGGGGGGGTTCAGATAAATTTAAAATTTAGCAAATCTTAAAGACGTGGGGCCTAGCTGGAGAAGGAAGGGGGGGAGGAGGAGGAGAGAGAGGAGAGAGAGAGAAGGGGCAGGAGAGAGAAGAGAGAGAGAAAGGGTGGCAACGGGTTGGGTACAGCTGGATCCGGACTCAAATAGGCTCCGGACCCGACCCATTGAGTTTAAAAATTAGATCACCCGCAGGGTCTCAAGTCTGGTTAGGTCCATTGGCACCCTCATTATGAGCTTTATTTTTTTTTCTTTTACGTTTTCTTTACTATCATATACCCATATTATTAATAACAATGTCACAATTAGGCACCATTAGATTTCAAGCCATATGATTTGTCGTTTAATAGCTAAAGATGACTACAAGTTCTTATTGTATATAATCCTTAATACACCCAAACAAATAAGGCTTAAAGTATTTTATGTCTAACAGTTTATAGGTATGGGTCAGGTCCAACCGGACTGAGACCCAAATCAGGATAAGGTTCAAGTCCAAGTTTTGGATCTGAATCCGACCCGCAGGGTCCAAATGTTGGACTCATGCCCAAACCGGTGTTGGACATACCCAGTGGGTCCCAGATCGGGTCCGGGTCCATTGCCACACCTAAGAGAGAGAGCATAGTTATCAAAACTAGACCAGACCACCTTGTCCGATCAGTCAAACTGCTAACTGGTGTCTTTGTTAATCCACTCTAAAGCAAAAATCTTGTTTGATTGAAAAATAGTCAAAATAAATGTTTGACCAATTTTAGCAAGTCCAAAAGTCTGGTTTTCTCCTGTTCGACTAGTTAAAACAAATTTTAGAAAAAGAAATTATAATATTTTTATATTTAAAATTGTTATTCTTATTTTTATATTATTTTTCTAAAATCTGGTCCGATCTGTTAAACTTGTAGTTGAACTAGTTTTGATTCGACCATATCCGTTGAACAGATTTTGATTCAACCATATCCGTCGATTGATCTGGCTGATCGGATCTGATAACTATGATGTTTAGCGAGAGATGTGAAAGAAATATGAATACCAGGTGAATAATTACAAGATCAAGACGTTTAGTAGCTAACTATGATGTTCAGTCCCACCCTACCTCAAGCATAAAAAATCCTCTTATGATCAAGCACGTGGATTCAAAACTGAATTTTGATACACCTAAATATGTTTAAACAGTCTTCACTAATCTTTCTTTGCCTACATAGATGCATCGAGTCGAAGATTATCGAAAAGTTCAAATGAGAGGTGGATGATTGGGGATGTCAACGTGCTAGGTTCTGGCTAGGCCCTGGCCATATCTTGGCCCAAAAATTTTGTTTCAGGCCGGGCTGAAATTTATGATAATGACGCCTGAGCCCCGGCCATGATAAAAATAAGGATCACCTATAGAAAATATGGATATAATATTATCTAATAAAAAAAGTATATATAAGGCTGAAGCCCTAAACAATCAAATTAAGGCGCACTTCAAAAACTTATTAGATGAGGTTATTTTCATGCCGAAAACCCTTAATTTGGTCATCTCGATCTCAAGATGTATGGACATGAGAAAAAATAGATTTTAAGTTTGGTAATATTACATCTTATAATGTATTATGCTGGCTGTCAATTTTAAAGATTCTTAAATGTTCATAGATATATTCAAATCTATACTATTTTTTAATTTTAAAATTTTATAATTAGAGATGATAATAAATTTTTGGGCCATCACAAAGATTTATGATATAAAAACAATATGATTTGGCATTATTTGAAGATGCACTTTATTTTGATTGTTTAGGGCTTCAACCTTATACAAAACCACACCCTTATCTAGTATCTGTAATATATACTTTGAAACTTTTCGGTGTTGTGGCAGGCCCATACTCAGATCCCAGGCCTTAAACCCAATTTCCTGACCTAAAACCCAAAAATCCTACCTTGGGCCGTTAACCGCCAATGGAAAACGAGACGGAAAAATAATCATACAAAGTGTGTACTTTGGTATACCTACTGGGGAAGATCCACCTTCCAACAAATATCGAATGGTAGACATTCAATGAGAAATGATATGGTCAGATTGTGAATAGAGCATTTGATTAGGGGTGACAACAAGCCGAGCTGGCATTGGCCCTAGCCCCAAGCCCAGCCCAGCCCAGCCCAGTTCTAACCAGTATGAAAAAGCCCTAGCCTAGGGCTAAACCTGGCTTCAGCCAGAAAAAAAAAAGGGCGGGGGGGTTGAGGGAGGAGAGAAGAGGGAGAAGGAAACAAGGGTTACTACTAACTTTTATCCCAACTTAAGATGAGGAGACTTATGAGATGGTCGCTACTAATCGCTTTTGTTCCCAAGACTTTATACTGTATAGTCCCAAACAACAAATAATTCATTTTTAAGATTAATTTTTATTGAAATAGTGAACTAACAATGACAACCAATACATCAAAATATGCCCTAAATATGTTGATGTTCAAGTTCATCCAAGGCTAAATGGAGGAAAAATAGGTAAGGCCAAAGTGAAGAGTTTCCTAACTAGAAAAATAAATAAATAAATTAATAAATAAAACAATAACAATCCCTAATGCATTAATCATCGACGCTAAAAAATATTAAATTAATGATTACGTGAATGAGTATGGGTAGGAATATTGAGAGGGGGTAGCTGGGGATGGGGATGGGGATGGGAATTGGAGTGGAGCAGCAGCCCCAATGTTGGCATTGGGAGTGGAGTGGTGTGGGATTGGGGCTCGGGTGCGGGCTCGGGGTGCAAGAGTTAAAGGTGTTGGATTCCATGGGGTGACTCTCTCTTTCTCTCTATGGATAGTGCCGGCAAAGGAAAGAGAGAAGGAGATAGGTGAGAGAAATATTTATAATTATGAGAGGGAAAGTAGACACAGATATCAAATGTAGTGAGAAAGAATAGTAAAAGGCACAGTTGAGAGAGATATGGAGAGAGCGCAAGGGAGATACAGGGGAAGGAAAAGAGAAAGAGAGGGGATGGAGACTGCTTGGGGTTTAGGATGGGGCTCAAATTATTGCTTCCTTGTTTCGCATGCCAGGAAAATAAGATAGTTGTGTCAGGCCTCTTAATTAAGAGTTATTTACTTACGGACAAAAACAAAATGAAAATATAAAAAATTTTATTTTTTCATGAATACTACGTAAAAGGTCGGTCGACTGGCATCTTTTCTTTTTTTTTTTCTAGTTTACCTCTCAAGCCAATGTTACTAATATCGGACCGCTTTAAATCTCTTTTCCTTCTTTTTTTCTCACTTTTGCTGGTCTAATGTCCCCTACATCGAACCAGTTTGTCCAGTAAGTAGTCTGAGGTGCAAGATCTCGAACCATTATATTGTGGCAACAGGGCATAGAATCACCAGTCCGAGTTCCAGAACCTCAGACCGCTTAAACCTTGCCAGTCCGATATTTTGGACATTAGACCGACCATAACCTCACAAATAACAAAAACAAAAAAAGAAATTTAAACCGGTCTGATGTTGCTAATATCAGATCGTCAGGCAATATGGAAAAAATAAAAAGGGCGCAAATGACCTTCCACATAATATTTTTGAAAAATGGAAATTTTTGTATTTTTCCTTTTATTTTATTGTCGATACATAAATAACTCCTTAGTTAATAAAGCTGGTTAGTTTCGGGATCTTGAGATATGGTCTCTTAAAGAATTGGAAGTTCTTATTTATATAATCCGAATTTTCTTGTTTTGAGCTCATCTTCTCTCTAAAAATTCTCTTATTTCGGGGCACGCCATGATACGTACCATATTATAGTAGTCTCATGGTCTGGCAGCGTCTTGGGCACCGGTGGGACTAAGTTACTACCAGCTCTCTCCTTATTCATCCCGGGGATATAAGTACGTAAAAGATGCCCCATTTTTTGGAAAATGATAACTCTATGTTGAGGAGACAATCAGAAGCAGGAGATGGAAAAAATAATCGCATTCTTTCTTTATTTCCATAGGATCATACTCATTTTATACTTCCTCTCTCTTGAAAATTTCAAGCACTTGTGAGCTATGGAGGAAGAGAGAGAGGTTCTACGCAACATAATGTGAGACTCGTGAGGATGAAGAAGATGAATTTAGCATCTAAATGACCGTTTGTTTTTCTCCTTGAAACAAAGTTTTGATTTTTTGGAGTGAATTGCAGGAGATCCAATTGGTTTTTAAATGTGCTACCAAGCATATGAAATTATTTACACAGTGATTTTTAAATGTGTTACCAAACATGATAAAAT